TTTTTTTGGGGGGGGGGGGGGGGGGGGGGGGGGGGGGGGGGGGGGGGGGGGGTGGAACACCCAGCTAATCGGCAAATTGTTATCTCAGTCGGCAAAACTGGATTGGCTGAAGATAACCACTGGAGAAACCAAAATTGACCTCCTGAATAATTGAATTCAAACCGAATATCACGAATAGCATGCATCAAAGAAACCACACATGCAGCAATGCAAGTTTTTTCGAATACAGTATCTTCACTTCTGTTGTTGCTTATTATACTGTGCTATAAAAGAGGCAATAAAGTCGGTTTTCCATTAGCGAATTTTCTCGCACGAAGCGACCTTTTTCCTTTGTCGGTATCACTTGTTACGTCAGCAAGACGTGGCAAAATCAGTCCTCGAAAACGAGGTCGGCATTCGGCAATGCCGGGCTAAATGCAAATTTTTGCCCACCTTAATTCAACCAAAGTAAGAATTTTTTATGCTGATAGCTTTTAAAATGTCAGCGATTATAGAATTCGATTCGTAGTTCGATTAACTGAACACACTACGGTGTAAGGTTTAAAAACTGACGGGTATAATTGTGTATATACGTTAGATGTTTGAAGATCAAATTTCGCGCGTCTGGAGTTAAAATTTGGCTCCAACTTTCGAATTTTCCGGCTGGAGGTAACGTTCCAGTTATATTCCGATTTCAATGACTCGTAAATGCGTGATTAATAGTGCTCCAAGACGTGAAACAGATTTTAAGAAATGCCGAGATGTGCCGACCTAGGCAGGGGCGGAGCGAAGACTATCCTTTTCGGGGGGTGCAAGACAACTTTTTGCCGGCAAAAGGGCGTGGCTAGCACGTTGTTAGGGCGTGGTCAAAACGAACCGTATTCATTTTTAAGTGATGTACAACGATGAAATCCGAGTAGTAAGATAATTTATTTTTAAAATAGGTGAAATAGATCCTTAATTTAAAATGCATTGTATAAATGTCAAAAAAGCACATCCAATCGTCATCAAACGACCGATTACAAACTAAACACGTCAGTTTCTCTATCTTCCGTTTGCGTTTTTGCTTGCTACTGTCCATACTTTTAAATCATCTTTGTATTCCTCATTGTATATAAGACCGTTAGGTGTAATTTCTAAGACCTTTACTGGCTTTACAAGATTATGAAATGAAGCGCAGACGCATCAACAGTCAACACGCACATGTGCTTCGAATTTCCTATGGTATCATATTTCACAAAATTACAAGAAAACTATAATATTAAATAGCATATTTAGCGTAATAAGTTCTTGGCCAATTTGGCTGAATGTTCGGAAAAGGGCCGAGCTTTCAGTCGACATATCCATTTTTTCGATCTCGCATTTTCTACAAATTTTCTACAAACAATCTCTCTCCAATCAGGTATTGCCTATTGGCTTGATCCAATTCATTTTGCCGACAACTGATTTATTGTGCCGACGGACACGGCATTGGGGGGTGCGGCACCCCCCGCACCCCCCCTTAGCTACGCCCCTGGACCTAGGTCAGATTTTGCCGACCTCAGTTTTGACGGCTTTGACTTTTCGAGGGCTGCAAAATGGATGCCGACAAAGGAAAAAGGTCGCTTCGCGCAGAAAAATTCGCTAGTGGAAAACCGACTTAATAGAAGGTAATAAAGCGCATTTAAACATGCACATTTACTATAGATGGCCCTGAATGGGTAAAATGGGAACTGGGATTGATCTATTTTTAGACTGGGAAAATGGGATTTGTCTTGCTGGGACTGGGATTTGGCCACTGGGAATAGGAAATGAAGTCCTCAGAAATGGGAATGGGATTGAAGTAATGTGAGTCGATTCCCAATTGTGATCCATTTTTGGTGTCTTTAGTCATGGTTTTTGTTGTTAACTATATTATTCACAGCATTACTTGCGAACAGGCATACTCTGGCGCGCGGAATTTTGGGTTTTCTGATTATGCGTGTCTCAGAATGATGCAAAAGCCATTTCCGGGATTCAAATTTAAAAATTTTCCGTGCCTTTGGCACGAGCCCCCCCCCTATATTTCATAAAGTGTCCGCCACTTGCACACACGGTGGCTTAAAAGGTCTTAAAACTGTTTATTCTACCGATAAATAAAGGGGAGTTTTATTGACTGGGATTTCAATAACTCGGACTGGGATTTCTAATAAAAATCCAACTGGGACTGGGATTTTGCCAAAATTTCAGGTGGAAAATGGGATTTGGACCCCCCCCCCTTCAGGACCCTCACTATAGGCTAATGACTCGGCAAAATTACCAAACAACAGTCGGCAAAAGATCACTCCCCCCCCCCCACTCGAAGAGGGTTAGCGCCGCCCCTGTGGATAGTTCTATCAGTTCTAAACTGTTCTTCCTAGAGAGGTCTAGTCAGGATCATCTCTTATTGATCCAATGTTACGACAGGAGGAAACCTAAACTAACTTTATTGGTACTGGATAGCTCTATCAGTTCTAAACTGTTCTTCCTAAATGTCCAGTAAGAGTCGTCTCTTATTGATCCAGTGTTACTACAGGAGGAAACCTAAACTAACTGTATTTATAATGGCTAGCTTTATCAGTTCCAACTTGTTTCCCCTAGAGCTCTGTTTTGCTTTGTTTGAAACTGTGTTAAATTCACATGAAAGTAACCACAAAACAAGATTTCCATACAATCACAGGTAGCGTTTACTCGGCTGCTCCGATTGTTCATGGTTGGATGCAAACGACGGTACTTTGGGTTGATAACATGTGCTGGTAACATGAAGTACTTAGCGTTCAGCTGACCATATTGCGGGCGTTTTGGTTTCTTCAACGGAGAATATGCTGAAAACATGGCTGCTGGCAGGAGGTGAGTATTTTACTTTCAGTCTCATTCAATTCGTTGAGCTCTCATTCTGACGCGTTTTCTTCATATTTTAGCACAAAATTGGATCGTGTGTTCTTGCGTCGTTTCAAGAAATGTCTTGGTATAATGTTTCCAACTTGGCTGGCGACCTCCACGCTTCTGTTTGTACTGCTCTTGGGCTTGTCCTTTTTACGTAAGGAAAAAATGCCTCGTGTATTAGGAGTCTAGAGTACATTTTAATTTATGACAATGTGTTGCTATGAAGGTGGTTTGATATAGATATTCCATCTTGTGTAGTATGTAGTGATTTCTGGAATGTGCCCAAATATTTTCAATAAGGGATACAAAATTACCGTAAATTATTTACGTAGCAATTATAGAATTCCAAGGCCAATTCACAGCTTCCATACTGTTCTAATATTCTAGTGGCCCTAAAGATATTTTTTATATTATTTAATGCCTGACCCTTTACTGTAATATCCAAACTGCTATTCTATTTAATTTTTGTTGTTATACCCCTGAAGAATTCCTGGCTAAAAACATGCACTTACCCTAGGCTCGGTCCCAGTCGTTCCCTCTTGGGAGAGCCCGGGAGGGAACGGCTGGGACCGAGCCTACATTTTTTGTCAACTGTTGATTTTTTATTCACAGTTACTCACAGATGTTACGAAAGCAACATCTGTGAGTCAAGAGCATCATCTGTGTGTCAATGGTTACTTGAGTGTGGAGCAGTTAAACAATGGGAAGTGACCAGCCTGCTTTGTACACACTGTTTGCCTGTGAATCGTGTATTTCTGAACCAGAAGTCGGGCTGGAGCATGCTTTGCTCCTTGGATTTGCAAATGAAACACAACAAATGGGTGAAATGGCAAAATTTGCATGGTGCTTGATTGCAAAAACAACTGCAAACTGCTGTAATTCTTTTTGTCACTTTCATTTTATTTTATTTGTGAGTCAGATTCAGGGATGCAGGAAGTTGCTGAGGGCAAGGAGTGCAATTGGTTAACAAGAGGGCATACTCCTTAATAAAAGGGCAGCAAGTGTCGACCTCCCTCCCTGTCACCAATTTTTTTCGGACCAAATACAATTATTTAAGCACAATTCCTCCGTAATTTCTCGCCAAGCATTCCATAAGTAATGCTTTCCATAATTCACCTCTCGCCAAATAGATAACAACTTTGTCAAATTCCTGATGACTGGGGGGTGGAGCACCCACACACACACATCCTTGAACGACATTTAATTCTGTCTGTTGTAAAAGTTTTGTGCATCTGTTACACCCATACTCTGCACCCGCACTGCACCCACAAAGTTGAAAATGCAAAAGGTAAGGGGTGCACTTTCCCCCGCTGCACCCGTGGTTCTGGCATCCCTGGTCGGATTCAACGGCCTTTGATTTGAAATGGCAATTAGGACTGACAATGAGTATCATTCTATGTAGAGCAAGCATTGTATTACAACTCTGGTTTGATTCCAAGTCGATATGTTGAAGTGATGGTTGACAAAGACCGCTCTGGATTTCAACAAGTCCTTGTCACTTCAGTCATTGTTATCATCAGCACATCCCTGGTAATTTACACCATCACCACAGAATAGAGACCAACAGAAGTCTGACTTCTTGTCTGCACTTATGACACAGAATAAAGACACACAGAAGGTCGACTCCAGGATTCGTCATCAAAATGCTGACGCCATGGCCTAGTTAGACTTGCTCCAAGTCTTCCCCCCCCCCCCCATTGTCATATCGATCCACTATAGTATACATTACATGACTTAGTACGGAGGGGCGGAGCGAGAAAGAGAGACTTGTCAACTTCGGAAAATCTCGGTTCAAAACTTAACCGAAAATGCAAGACTTGCTTTGTTTTCTGTCAGTGTTTATATGTATTGATCTAGCACAGTGTAAATAACACGAGTTCCATTATAGTAAATTATACAGAAAGAAATTGAAGGAAAACAATTAAAGCAAGTATTGCATTTTCGGTTCAGTTTTGAACCGAGATTTTCCGAAGTTGACAAGTCTCTCTTTCTCGCTCCGCCCCTCCGTACTACGTCATGTAATGTACACTATAGTGGATCGATATGACAATGAAAGAGAGACTTGGAGCAAGTCTATGGCCTAGTGCGCTTATGAGAGGCATTCCCCCCTGGACATCTGCCTTTTTTAATATTATCAGGGGGGTGAATGCCTCTCATAAGCGCACTGGCTATGACCATGGCGTCAGCATTTTGATGACGAATTACGGTTACGCTAAAATCATAGGGAAAACCAATAAGTCGTGCTTCTGTATAGTCTCTACTCTGTGCTTACGATATTGGCGTAACTGTTGCAATGCTGTCGCCATGTTCCTAGCCAGTGCGCTTACAAGAGGCATTCACCCCCCTGCGTATATTCAAAATGGAGGATGTTCAGGGGGGTGAATGTCTCTCATAAGCACACTGGTTAGGAACATGACAAGTGCATTTTGATGAGGAATTGTAGAGCACAGGATAAAGAATAATATAAAGAATAATATAAAGAATAATATAAAGAATAATGTAAAGAATAATATAAAGAATAATATAAAGAATAATATAAAGAATAATGTAAAGAATAATATAAAGAATAATATAAAGAATAATATAAAGAATAATATAAAGAATAATATAATTCTGGCTAATTTAAACAGAATTCCAGGTTAATAGTTCACCTAACATAATCTGGTTAATTCAACCATATAACGTGGTTAAATTAGACAGGATAGTGATCAAATGAATGGCCACATATAATCCAGGCCAATTTTATAAAACATCATTTATTGAGGTTGCATGACATTATATTTTTGTGCTAGATTTGCATCTCCAAAAATTCTTACTTTTGCCCAACTTTTCCTGAAATTTTAGTCCTACTTTTATCCCAAATGCCAGAAAGACTGCTGGTGATTTGCAATTTAATTGTTCTTTTTGTTGGTCAGGTTAAAAGTTTGGTGAGTTTTGTGTCTGGTGTTTTGTACGTGAACTGGAGAGGAAGTCTGACGAGATTTATCCAAAAATTTTATTTTGCTCAAGACAATTACTATGAACTGAATGTCCTACAACGAGATATTGATAACTTGTGAGTAAAATTTTACATTTCAAAGTATCTCAGAAAATGTACGAAAACATACACTTAAAGGTCGTTTTCCACCAGGCAGAATTTTTCGCGCGGGGCGGAATTTCTCTTTGTCTTTTCTAATTATTTCCACCCGAGAAATCACAAGACAAAGAGAAATTCCGCTCCGCGCGGAAAATCCCGCCTAGTGGAAAACGGTGTTAACCGACTGATTGCAATGCAGCGCTCTCCCCTTGACGAATAAAATTGTCTGGCGTTAGACAGAGTAAAATAATAAAGTAGGGCACATCAGCACACAATGCAACTCAATGGGTTAATACAGCTTATTTGTGTTTATCTGAAAATTCTTGAGACAACCAGCATTCTCCTATATTCGAGTTTAGCGTCATCAATTTTCCATATCGCTTTCTACAGTGTTTTGGCAAAAATGGTCCCAGATTTGAAATTTTCCTGCTCAAATTATCTACACAGAAAATTTCACATTGTTCAGAATGTTAGCGTGTGGGTTGATTGGCATTTGAGCACTTAACTTGCAGTAAGGCTCATTTTCTCATGCTTTGAAAATTTGGAAAATTCTCGCGACACTTTTTCTATTTCAACAAAGAATATGGATAAAACTGGCCAGTGAAAAGGAACTTGCACTTGATGCCTCCTCTCCCCCCCCCCCCAGGGCCGTAGCGAGGAGGGGTATTGGGGGGGGGGTTAACCCCCCCCCCCCAACTTTTGTAGAATTAACATATTCGGAAAATCGGGTTGGCCATTCGGAAAATTACGGCAATTATTATTGTACGAAAATCATGAGATTCAGGCAATTTATAGCTAATATTTGACTTTTGGTATGTCCGGAAAAAAATTTTGACCCTTAAAATGGTACACTGACCGAAATATTTTTGGCAACGGGGGGGGG